GTCAATGTGAGACGAAACTCTTATAATAGTTATCTATATCTTGAATAGGATTTCTAGTAAGCCAATTCCATCAACTCTATTTGAGTTATGGATTAACAGAAAACTCAGTTTAAGACATTTAGATATTTGAGATTGTTCTATAGAGATAAAGAGTCTTCAATTCACATTAAAAAAATCCAATAACTATTTTTGGGTATGTTATTAGTTATTTAAAAAAATCCAAGTGATATAAATTTTATTATCTTAATTATAGTTTGAAGATAGTAGAATATAATAATATAAGATTTAAAAATATATATAAATATCAATATAAGTGAAAAATCTCAAGATTAATTTTGATATAGATGAGATATATGTTGATGGTCCTTTATTATTTTTTATTCGAGTGGTCATGGTTCATCAAATCACTGAGCAATAAAATAGCATTACTGAATCCAATATAATGTCATCATTGATAATCTTGTTAAACAACTATAATCGATAATTTTAAAAAGAACTTAAAGAAAAGAGACATATCATTTCTAATGATTATATAGTATATTTATAAAAATCAAAATATGATATAAAATTAAAAGAGGACCTATATCATTTTCAAGAAAGCAACAATTCTGAAAGATAATATAATCTAATAAAAGAAGAGTTAAAATCAATAAACCATAATGATATCCATGAACTTATTGAATTGTCTAATAACTATAAAAAAAGTCAGTTGCAAATTGGCTTTTAAGATAAAATATAAGTCAAACGATAATATCAAATGATATAAAATCAAACTTATGATCAAACAAATTTCTTATAAATAAAACATTGATTATAATATGATAATTTATCTAATTTCTAAAAAGGCTTGTTGAGAATCGTCGTAACATTAGTAGTGTATTACGATATTAAGTTACATTAAATAGACATAAAAATAATATTTTTGAATGAAGATTTAGATGAAATAATCTATATATAATAACTCAAATGATTCATAGAAAAATTAATAAAAAGTTGGGCTTGCAAAATTAGAAAGTCCATTTATGACCTTAAACAAACTTTCAAACAATAATATATAAAATTTCATGATACCATTACTTTCTTCATATTTCAAAAAAATATTATTGATCAATGTATATATCTAAAAGTTAGTGAGACCAAATTTATTATATTGGTTATATATATATATATATATGATATTTTGCTTGTCAACAGTGATTTTGGTTTATTGTATAAAACTAAGATATTTTTTAATGAGAATTTTAAGATAATTGATATGAATGAAATAACTTATATTATTGGTATTGAGATATTTAGAGATAAATCTCAAAAATTACTATGATTGTTTTATAATAGGTATATTGATCGAGTCTTTAAGAGATTTAGTATATGACTTTGTTCAACTAATGATACACTTACTACTGGAGATAAAAAATTCAATCAAAGCTAGTTCCCTAAGAATGACTCAGAAATGAATTAAATAAAGGATATAATTTATGCATGCATAGTTAAAAATCTATTATATACTTAAATACGAGATTGAATATTAGTTTTTTATTGAATATCGGATAGATACTAGAGCAACCCAAGAATAAAACATAGAAAATTATAAATAAAATGATAAGATATCTATAGGAGATGAAATACTATACACTCAGCATATAGGAGATTAGATTAAGTTGAAGTGATGAGATATTTTAATGTTGATTCTATAAATTATCTCAACCATAAGAACTCCACTAAAAGATTCATATTCATATTAGTTAAATGGACAATTTCTTGAAAAAATACAAAGTCATCATTTATTGTATCATGAATAATCAAAAATAAATTTGTGATGTACTATAAAACTATAATTCAAGCTTTATGATTACGAAATTTAATATCATGTCTTTGTGTAATTAATTCAATTGTTAGACTACTAAAAATATTTTTTTTATGATAATACTATTATATTTTTTGTCTAATAATAACAAACACCCTAGTGATTCCAAACATATCGAGATAAAGTACTGGTAATTAAAGAAAGAGTCCAAAAATAATAATTACCATTTTGATGATTATTGATCCATTTATAATACTAACTATAAATGTCTGAAGTACGCATTGGAATTGAACTTGTGAACAACTCATAAGAGATATGATGATGCAATCTTAAGTAATATTACTATTAATATTTTTTTTTATTTACTTAATTAAAGTTCTTTTATTTTTTTTTATCTTATATATATATATATATATATATATATATATATATATATATATATATATAATAGTAGAATGTGATAATAAGATTATCTTGACAAGATAAATTATAGAGTATATTAAGAAAGACTAACAATATCGTGAGACGTAAAAAAAAAATAATATTGATGATATAAAACTGTTATGACTCGTATTGGTAGTCGAATGAAGTATTATTGTACTTATTGGCTTATTAGTCTATTTTAAAATTTATTATCATGTGTAAAATATTTTTTAAAAAATTTAAAATCTAATTAGATAAAATAATTTTTAAATAAAATTTTATTATATTTATTTTAATTTTAATTTTATTTTACATCTTACTAATTAATTGATAATGTATGAGAATGTTAAATCATGTGGCTCTATTTAATTATGTAAGATATATTATAATTCATATTTGATTTTAATTATGATTATTGATTATTAAAAAGAAAGCTTACTTATAGTAGAATTTCTTAGAAGATTATAAAAAAGCCTCTCATAATCACTAATCATAGACCCTCTACTCTCATCTATAAATATACAAGACCTTTTAGGACTACATATGGTATAATATGACATGATCGAGATTACTAATCTATTCTTGTTTCCCTTTAATTTTTATTTCATTATCTATAATAATCCTATCAATGATATATAGAGATGAATGCAACTATAGTTCTCTTGATAAATCTATGTTAATATATTCTATATACTGAACTACTAAGTACGTTCTACAAATCAAATTAAGACATTCATAATAACATTCAAATATACATATATAATATTGATCTATGATTATTTAATTTCAGTTCTTAATATTAAATTTATACTTATAATCCTTTACTAGTAATCTCAAAGGGGTACCGGCAATATACCTTCTAGATCTCTATCGGTTCCAAGTCCCCAACAAGTACTCTATCATCTATTGCCATCGTTGCCATGGACTGTAGGAGGAGTTAGGAGTTAGATCTGAAGGAGCTTAAATATATCTAGCACATTACAAATGATGGTCCAAGTTAGATCTATTATAGTATTACAAGTCCAATTAAAGTGAGTCCAATATGAAAAATGATGCTCTAGTAAGTATATGGTGTAAAAAAAAAAAAAATCTTTATATCATCCCTAAAACCAATAAAAATATATGTGTTATATTTTTTCGCTCAATTCTCTCTCTAGTTGGTTCCATTTTACTTTCCCACTATCTCTCTCCACCATACTTCTCTATCACTAGTATCATCTTTGTAGTTTGTTAGTTCCAACTCATTTATATTCACCATCATAATATTATTTTAATGTTGATACTCTAATGGACGTAGTTTAGTTTTTGGAGGCCTTATTGTAACATCAAATTTAGTATCCTAGGTGGATAAAGGCTAAGATTAATTTATGAAGATTGTCAATAATATGGGTTCAAATATTTTAGTTAATGATATGCACTTGTCAATTGTCTTATGAGATTGAATCATGATAATTAATATTAATTACTATAATATTAAGACATGATGAAAGACTTGAAGATTGATATCAATCAATTTAGTATTAGATATATGGATGACTTGAATAAAAAAAAAAATACTCATGTATGAGTCCTAATATATAAATATAGTGTACAAACATCTCATAAAAAATAATATACAGAGATTTTTGTTACTATGATATATATGGATAGATTTTTTGAATGTTTGTGTTATTATATTATCTTATTTTTAATAAATTCCGGTTTTATTTTTCTTTAATTTTTAGTGGATTGCAATAGAATTCTTTATTATATTATCTTATGTTTCTCTCTCTTCTATTGTCATAATATTATTAATCATCGTATTATTTTTTAAAATGAGATTCATAGACAAAAATATATATTGATAAAATAATTCATAAATTGAATATGTAGTGAAATATAAAAGTTACTCTAGCCATAGTTGTTCAAAAATAAGATTTAGAAGAATAATATTTGATTCCTTGAATGATGCACTAAAAATAATAATATATTCTATCTAGTTTATACCTTATACAACTTAAAAGATATATATATATATATATATATATATATATATATATATATATATATATATATATATATATATATATATATATATATATATATATATATATTATATACCTTGATGAGTAGCCATATACCCTTACGAAGGATGGACAAAGGACTCAATTCAATATAATTATGAAATGCTTGATGCTTTTATCTTTTAAGATAACCTTAATGTATCAATATTTTCTTTTATGATTAAAAAATTATTTGATCATCAATGTTATATAATTTCTATCATCATTATTATCATGACAATAATACATTTGAAACAATTCAACCATGTATGTTGTAGTATTCCAATAACCATTGTAATTTTCAATAAAATAAATCTATTTAATGAAAAGTTGACATGTGGAACTGAGATTAGCTCTATAAATTATATTGAAGCTTGGTCAGCTTAGCTCTTACATCATTAGATCAAAATGAAAAGATTTACATCAATAAATTTGATAACTATCCCAATTTATAAGCTCTTCCTTAGCAATTTATTTCAATATTATATTAAATAATTTAATTATCTTAATTAATTATAACAAATTTAATTTCTATTTTATAATCAATTTAATTATAAAAAAATAATGCGACCAAAATTACAATCATTATTATGAAATTGAAAGACTTCAAACCGAACCAACCCACCCAAACCTTCCTGCAAACTGTTGAAAGCATATATCGTGTCCGTTGGATCCAAATCCGACGGACAGAAAGTAGCGCTCGGCATTCTAGGGTTTAAAAGCTCCCCCTTATATATACCGTCTCAGCCGCCGCCGCGTCTGCCCTTCCCCTCACTCTCGCTGTCTCGGTGAGTCTTCGTCTGCTTTCCGCCCCCGAAATCGCCTTCGTGATTAAGATCTGCGTGTTTCCTTTGATGTCGCCTCGATCATATCTATTTTGTTCGAATTGTTTTGCATGCCGTTTAGATTTTGATGGCGTAGCTCATTTATCTTTGTGTTTTGCTTGAAGGATCGGAGGAGGGGACCGATACACATCCGAACAATGAGGTATTGTGGGTTCTCATAAGTGTTTTTCTATTGATATCATGTTGCACGAAAGAGTAGTCGTTGTTGATGTTCTAAGGACTCTACGTGTAGTGCAAATTGTTCATTCTATTGTTTATGTTCTGGAGAATTTAGGAGAAGTAATCATCTGCGTTTTTTAACGGATCGTCACACTGAAATATTTTATTCCGTAATCAAGATGTGTCAACAACTACGAACAGAACCAATATGGGGTTTTTCTAGTTCATATCTATCACATTCTTAGCATTTTGTGGCTATCTGCATGTTGTAGTTTCCTAGCTGTTCATAATGTTTGTTCTGATTTATGAGACAAGAAATGTGTTTGTTGTTATCAGGTATGGTTGCATAAAATCTTACTATGTTGGTTGATGCTTGGCCTGGTAGAAGTCCTTTGTGCTTGACGTTTGCATCATATATCAATGTTCTGTTGATTGTGATTGAGGAAGACAAGTTTGGCCTTGCATGTTTGCTTATCCTTATTTAGAGGGGCCTTTTTTTTCATTTATTTGAATCTTTTAAATTCGATGTGAAGCTCCTCTGTTTTGTTGCATCAGTTGTTCTTTCAGTATATATTAGGATAAAATCATACTGTTGTGTTGCATAACAAGATGATCTTTTGTTGTCTTCTTACCTTCTATTTGTGTTGAAATGTAATTTGTTGGTTACTTTATTTGAAATTATATATTCATTTTGGCAGTGGGTTTGAATTACCATATTTGTTTATGTACTGATTACTTTACAGTTTCTGTAGTACAAGTTCATCTTAATGTTTCTATCATGTTGAACTCACCTTTTCAAATATGTTGTTGCTGCACAGCAAATTGCAGAGTGATGTTTTGAGGGAAGCAATCTCCCAGGTTGTTGGTGATTCTCGGGAGAAGAAACGAAAATTCACTGAAACAGTTGAGTTGCAAATTGGGCTGAAAAACTATGATCCTCAAAAGGACAAGCGATTCAGTGGATCCGTGAAACTACCTCACATTCCACGTCCGAAAATGAAGGTCTGCATGCTCGGAGATGCTCAACATGTTGAGGAGGTAAAGCATATAGAACTTTGTGTTACCCTCATCAATTTCTTTGGTACAGGAATTGTTCAGAAGGTGCTGTTGTAAAGTTGTCCTGACCATTGGAGTTAGTGTTTGTATTACTGTGAGCGTCAAATGAGTCTATAAAAATGTACAGATCATTTAGGTAATTCCAAGTTCACCTTAGATTCAAATGCTGGAAGAGCATGTCCACTATCTCTCGTGTTCAACTGTCAATTTAGTAATGCTGGTCTGCTGATAAAATAGGTGGCAGTTATCTGGAGTATTATGTCTACTTCACTATTCATTTTGATTACATATTTATGTGCCATATGCATGTAATAATTTGGACAAGTATTTCAGTCTGATTGTAGCTGCTATTAGTACAATCTACATGATGATGACATGAACAGGACATTTTAGATCCATTTTCACATCATCTCGACACTGAAACATGGCCCTTTGTGAATTCATTCTCCTGCAAATTTTTAGAAGTTCATTTATGAGCTCGTGGACTCAGACTGAAATGCTTGTCTGATTCTGATTCTTGTGTTCTCATTTGATTGCTGTAAGTTGTATTAATGATTACTTTTGTGACCTCCAGGCAGAGAAAATTGGCCTTGATTATATGGATGTTGAAAGTTTGAAAAAGATGAACAAAAACAAGAAGCTGGTTAAAAAGCTTGCAAAGAAATACCATGCTTTCCTAGCATCAGAGGCCATCATCAAACAGATCCCTCGTCTTCTTGGCCCTGGTCTTAACAAGGCAGGCAAGTACAATTTGTTTTAACTTTTACTGCATGATCAGTGTATGCTGCACAATATGAGATGATCATAACAATGTTCATTTACCATTTTTTCATTTTTTTAGTTGCATTTTGGTTTGAGAAATAAATATTATTGTCACGTCTAACACAGCTAAATATGCTAATCGATTGGTATCCACCCATGAGTTAGCTGGCTAATGAATGTTAAATAAAGAACAAATATAAGTCTCAGTTAAAAACAGTTATTACATTGTTTTAGTTGGATAATCTGTATTTGGCAAGTTAGACAAAAGCAAATATGATATACTGCAATTATTCATTTTGTTGAAACCCTAAATAACTTTTTGGCCCTTTGGATGTCTTATTCACTTTGATTGTGTTGCTTGTTGGAATGAAATTTTTGTTTGTGTTTACATGTGAAAATAAAACAGACTTGTGACTGACATTGTCATCCGAGAGATTGTTTTTGGGATTGATTGTAATGATCTCAAATATATGCTCGTGTTAATTTATTTGGGATTGACAATCTATTCCTATATATGCTCTTGTGTGGAGTACTTTTTTGTTATTTTTGTCTCCTAATACAAATTTGAATTTGTTTTGCAGGGAAATTTCCCACACTGGTTACTCACCAAGAATCTCTAGAGGCTAAAGTTAACGAGACAAAAGCAATGGTGAAATTTCAACTCAAGAAAGTTCTTTGCATGGGCGTGGCAGTGGGTAACTGTGCCATGGAGGAGAAGCAGATCTTTCAGAACGTTCAACTCAGCGTAAATTTCCTCGTGTCTTTGCTGAAGAAGAATTGGCAAAATGTGGGTTCCTTATCATCCTCGTTAGTCTATTTTTTAAAGCTGCAACTTTTTTCGTTATTAGAAATAATCAAATATTTTTTTATTGATGCTTATAGAACTTAATCTGCATTTTGTGGACTTGTTTAATTTTGATCACTCAAATTACTTCTGCTGCATTGTAGATTTTGCCAATGATTTTGTAGAATTTCTAGCATATAGATTTTGTAGAGTTGTTTAATGGTTGAATTTGTTGATCTGTACTGTAGCGTAACTAATAATATTGTGTCATTACATGTTCCATCGCTGACTCTGGTGTGTTCTTGCAGGTGAGATGCTTGTACCTGAAGAGCACCATGGGGAAGCCATACCGAGTGTTCTAATCGGCTGATCGATGAATTGGAAATTCTACTTTCTTTTCCAATTTCTAGTTTTTTTGTTTATTTTGCAGTATTAAAGGACTGAGGTTATCAAGTTAGGCATGTTTGGTGCAGCCACCGATGAGATACTTAGCTTTTATTGCATCGGTGTGAGCTTCTTGTGGCGTCTGTTCTCTTCCTTTTTGCAGTTAATTGTGACTGACCTCAGTGATTTTATTTATCGTTATGAAATGATAAAAAATATCTTTATAATAAATATAACATCTATTTAGTTTTCCCATACGGAAAATAATAGGGATTACAAATTCTCATGATAAAATTATAAGATGGTTGTTAGAACAATAATATTTTATGGATTTAAATGTTGAACAGTTAAGAAAACAAATATAATTTATATTATTAAAAATATTTTTATTTATGAATAATTAAATGATATGAATATGTGCTGAAAAAATTGAATGATAAATTAGTTCATATAAATGTTATGAAAAGAGATAAAAGAAAATTAAAAAAATAATAAATACTAAAAATAAAATTTTAAAGAGATTCATGTAACTGACGCAGATAGTGGAAACCTGTTTGTTATTGTTGTTGTACAAATTGCCCCCTCATCTACTCTGAAATAACGAGAGCTGTCCCGCCACCGCTGCCTCTCCCCACGACGATGCTCGCCTCCTGGACGATAACCGCGCCATCGCTCCCGGCGCCGGCACCACGGGAGGTTGCTCTCTGGCTGATACCCCCCTCACCGTCTTCGCCGGGATCATCCTCGGCGGCGGGGTTGATCTCCTCTCCCCTTGCACCTGCTGCTGCTCCTCCTCGGACGCCCCCGGTCCACAGCCGCCGCACCTAAAGATGGCCGTCAAGCCGGCCCAAAAACCTCTAGCCTTCCGATCCTTCACCGGCCTCCGCTGCTGCTCCCGCTCAGGTCCTGTATCCGACAAGACCTTGCCGAGCCACGACACCTTCGGGGACGCCGGCTCTGACTTCGACTCTGGCCCCACCGGATTCCTCCCTCCTCTTCGCTTCCTGGGGAAGATCCGGCTTCGTGCGGGCCGACGGTATCCCCGCCCGGCGTAGCCCGAGGTCTGGATCTTGGCGGGGAGGCCGATAATGGGCGGCTTCGATGGGGCGTTCATGGCGCCGGAGAGGCTTTCGGAGCCGGACCGGGACTTGGGCTTGGCCTTGACGGACTTAGGGTTTGTAAGGCCCCTGGTGGAATCCATGCGGCCATAGTCGTGGTAGATGAGCCCACCCCCACCGATCGCCGGCAGTGGACAAACCTCGTCCACCTCCTCTCTATCGCCATCGGGTGGAGTTCCGCAGGCGACCTTGGTTTCGCCGCCGCAGAGGAGGGTCTCCAGCTCTACTGGGCGCATCGCACGAGATAGGGAGGAGTGAGAGAGGAGGGTGTCGAGTCGTCGAGAAGGAGGAGGGACGGAGTCTTAAAAGAGGAGACGAGAGATTGCACTCATCGCACGTACACGGTACGTTCTCCTTCGTTGGCCGTATCCTCTCGGACACGCATCACGCACCACTTCAAGGAATCATTAATTTGATTAGGTGCGCTCTCCGTCAAATTCAATGGATATAGGGGTTTAAAGAAGTCAAAGTAGTTTTACTTTTTGTTTGATAAAATTATATATATATATATATATATATGTGTATGATTTCAATATTTGGCATAATTAAACAGCTTTTTATTCTTTAAAAACCGTATGACCCTAATTTTTTTTAACACGACAAAATATAATCCTAGTAAACTTATGGTAAGTTCAGGAGCTATAATTACATAATTCAAGCAAAATTTAAATTTTTTAGGTATATCTTTATTAAATTTTGGAAGAGTTCTCGTCTTTATCAATTATCTTTTGAAAAAATAAAAAAATTAAAATAAAGTATATCAATTAGCAATCTGAATTAGAAGCACAAAGTCTCAATAGATGGGCTGAGGGGATTCTGTCAAGTCAAAGGATGCGTTGCAAGGAGTTGGAGTTGTTTGACCTCAGCACAAGGTCAGAATCCTAGAAATCACATTGCACGAATCATGACCGTCAAGTCAAATAATCTCATATTTGATTCATACCATGTCCCATAATAATGTATGTGGGTTATAGTTTTGATTAGTATAAGTTGTTATGGCGAACATTATAGAAGTTGCAATTGTTTTCATTAAAATTGCTCCCTTTACTGAGAAAGACATGAGATGAGGACTGCCACCAAAGAGATGAAATGCCGGTCAGCAGTAAAATTTCACGTAGAATACGCAGTTAGAAATCTAAAGAGCCACGTCTGGTTCGAATTAACCATCCGATCATCGAAAGATAATAATAATGCTTTCTTCTTTCTTGATGGATGCCTCTTCACAGAGAGAGAAAAAGAAACACGGCCTCTCTCTTCCCGGTGAAAGGGATTCGGGCTTTTGTACCTCTGGGCTTGTATGCTTCTAAAGTTGGGCACTACGGATATAAAAGGAAAAGTGAAGACGTAAAGGTCGCTGTTAAGTTCTTCCAAGGCTCGTAAACTCCGGTTAGTATCTAAACTTTGACACTCGTAAATCCATTATTGGTGTTGAACCAATCTGATTTTTAAGATGGATCTCATGGTCACGTTACAGATATCAGATTGTGCTCTTTGTACCACTTAGCAACTAATGTTTGGGTAAATAAAGTCTGAGTTTATCAAACTCGAGATTAGGAGATCGGTAGTTTGGGTAAAAATCTTGTAAAAAATAATTATATCAGGGGTATATCAAATAAGACTCTTCCTAATGTTTAAATTAGTAAGTAGTTCAAAATATTTGATCAAGTGCCAAAGTAGTAAAGATATAATCACTAGAGAAGGGGAGCTCCTTGATCTTTTTATAATATAGCATTTGATAATTGGATTGTGGTTGTGGTTAAAGTAACACCGAATCTAAAAGACATAAGGTAATAAATGGTTGAGTCAATTTCCATCTACTAGTTTCCGCTGAGTTGGTTGCCACATCACCCGATGATATTGTCCATCTATATCAAGGTATCAACCATACGGTGATGAGATATCATCCATGTAGCTATGAGGTGTTGGTCATATGATATTGAGTGTCGATCACATGATGTTGAGGTGTCAACCATATGACATTAAGATATTGATATTCTTTTTTATGTCATTATTTTCACATCAATTGTCCCCATCATGCCTCGACGAGTGTAGTGGAATCGAGGCATGATAAGACTTCAGCTTATTATTTGATCATGAAAAAAATGATTTAACAATCATATTACAAAAATGAGTGCTTTGAGTTGTTTCAGTAAATTGTTATTAACATGAGCACTTAGGTCATCTCAATCACGTTGTCGTCAAAAGGAGCACTTTTGATTATTTCGACTGCATCATCATCGAAGAGAGTGCTTCGAGTTAGTTTGGTTACACTGTTATTAGAGAGAGCATGGGTTATTTCAATCATGTTGTCATCGAAGGGAGTATTTTAGTTGTTTCAACATGTTATTATTGATAGAAGCACTTCAAGACATTTTGATCACATTATCGTTGAAGGAAGCATTGTTAGCCATTTTAGTCATGCTATCTTGAAGCAGCACTTTAAGCTGTTTTGATCGCACGTTGGAGGGAGTGCTTTGACCATTTTCAGTCACATTATCATCGAAGGGAGCACTTTAGTTGTTTCGATCGTGATGTTGAAGGGAGCACTCTAGATCGTTTTGACCATGCTATCAATAAAGGAAGATCATTGAATGTGATGCTTTGGGTCGTTTCAATCATATTTGTCATCAAAGTTTTAGGTCATTTCGATTGTGGTATCATCAAATGGAGTTCTTCATGTTACTTCAGTTGCAATGTTGTCAAAGATAGCACTTTATGACACTTTGATTATGTTATCATCGAAGGAAGTATTTTGGACTATTTTGAATACACTATCATCGAATAGAGAGCTTCAATCATTTCGACTTCGATGTTATCAAAAGGAGCATTTTGGATAATTTTCATTACGTAATCATTTAACATAGTGCTTTCGATCGTTACGACCTTGTTGTCATTGACGGGAGTCGTTGGGTTGTTTCAATTGCGTTATTAATGTAAGCAACACTTTTGGTCATTTCAATCATGTTATTATCGAAGGAAGTACTTTGGGCTTCCCTTTTTTTTTATATTGTCATCGAATGGAGTGTTTTGGGCAGTTTCGGTCGCTATCATCAAAGGAAGCACTTTGAGCTATTTTAGCCACACCGTCGTTAAGTGAAGCGATTTAGGTCATTTTGATTATACTATCATCGAAGGGAGCGGTTTGGGTTGTTTCAATCGTGTAATCAATCAAAGGGAATGCTTTGGATCTTTTTGATCAAATTGTCATCACAAGGAGTGCTTTGGATCGCTTTTGGTCTTGTTGTCATCGAATGAAGCACTTGGGTCGATTTGATTGTGTTATCAACAATGGAATGCTTTAGACTATTTAGGTCGAAGGGAGCACTTTAGGTCGGCTCAATCATGTTGTTATTAAAGGGAGTGCTTTGGTTCGTTTCTGCCACGTTGTTGTTCAGTGGAGGACTTCTGACAAATTCAGTATTGTTGTTCTTAGGGAACACTTCTCGATCAATTTAGCTTGTGTTGTTATTGAGAGATACTTCTAGAGTCATTTGACCTCCATTGTTGTTTGAAAATATATTTGGACCAAGTAGATTATGTTATCATCCATGTATGCTTTAAAATAATATAATATTAATATTGTTTGGAGATGTATGACACACTCTATGGTTCGATTGCATTATTATAGAAGAATGCTTCTTGATCGATTCAATCACATTATTGTGAAGGTTCGACTATGCTGTCAGAAGTTCTCCCCTCAAGTGATTCGATCGTGTCGGTGTCAAGAGCTACTTCTTTGGAGGTTCAACTATATTGATGTTAGGAACCATCTATTCGAGGGGTTCAACTATATTGGTATAGGGAGCCACATCTTTGGAGGGTTTAATTATATTGATGTCGTGACCAACACTTCATATAGCCTATGATATTGTGCACTTCGTATTATTACTCAAACCCAATGGTAGCTCTTGTGCTAAGATAATTTGTGACATTCTTTTGTTAAGTTCTTTCTTTTGCAACATTCTATTAAAGCAGAGCTTGATTGTCCAACATATTGAGAGGGTTCAAAACCAATTTTAATTCAAGTATGCGTCAGTCATAAACTTAATATCAAGAGTTGAGTGAATTTGACAAGAATCCTGCAAAACAAAACTAAATTCGGAGTGTACCCAAAAGACCCATATGATACTTTAAGGTGAAATAAAGATAATATTAATAGTTATATCAATATTTTACCAAGGGTGAAATAGAGATTATATCAATAGTTTAATATTTACAAAATTTTTTTTCAAAGTATTAATATTATATTATTTTATTACAATGATACTTCCTTTATTGCATTCTTATAAATATCTATATATTTTTTGAATTAAATTATTATAAATAACTTAAGCATATACAATTTATACTAGGTGTGTTAAAAATCTTGATTAGACTAATTGAAAGGATCACAAACATAACTATTGAAAGTTCTGTGAAACGAATAATTTAAATAAATGATCGAAAAAAGTCTAAAAGACTCGGTTTTATGATAATTACTAATAATATTTAGACTTTATTAGAGTGTATAACTAGCATACTAGAGTATTTAAATATTAATTTAAATTTATTAATAAGTCATTAGTTGATATATTAATAAAAACACTGATTGAAAGTTAGTTGATATATTAATATAGTTTTATAAACTTCTTGAGATTATATATGCTTAGATCTATAGATTACTTTATGTTCTCTATCTTAGTGGAAAGAGATATTTTAACATCTTTATAGATTACTTGTTGAGATATGAGTATCTAAGGTATGAAGTTATTGACATCTTTAGGTATAAATGAATGAAGTCGAGAAATAATTAGATAGAAAAATTAATTTTTTTAATCTAATAAGAGTGATAAATTTTATAATAGTTATGAAAATTAGTATGATAGTATTTGAGAAATATAAGATTATATTCTCAATATGTTTGATAAGATTATAAGTTTAAGAATATTGGGCATGAATGTAATTAATTTTTTCTCATATAATTTATTCTTAATATTTTTTTTTAGTTTGGCTAATTTAAAATTTACTATAATAAAATTAAAAATAAATAAAGCTTAAATGAGCTAACTAATATATATATATATATATATATATATATATATATATATAAAGAATTGAGATTTATAATATTTTGAGTACTACTCAAGGAGTGGGTAACAATAAAAGGTTGAAGCATAATTTATCAAATAAATTAATTAAGTTTATAAATATTATATAAACTCATAAAAGGAAAATATTTATAGTAAATTACTATTTCTGTAGCAAGAAAGATCGTGTTAAAAAGGACTATAAGGTTTTGGTTTGT